TGAAGAAAATGATCTTGGAAAATTGCAAGATAAAATGTAGAAATCTCAACAGAGTTTGGATAGATTACCGTAAAGCCTCTTAAGGCTTTGGAAATGTACAACGTCTCCCCGGTGATAGTAAATTCCCTTAAATATAGCATAGAACTGTAGAAAAGCACATTATACCCAAATGACAGCAAAAATAAAAGGAACAATTAGACTCTCTCGAGAAAGTGTCACAACGAAAACTTCTATAAATATATCTTGTTTTTAATTCATTTATTGTTGATTTTTTAAAAGAATTCCGAAATAATTGTGATAGGAAAGTTGGTAAGAATTTCCAGCTATGACTTAGAACAGTTGCATAATTCTGTGATTCTAACCTGCATCGTAACTCCATTAATCCGAACGGTTCTATGTAACGAGACAGAATGGCACATCTAAGAACTATAGCATGTTCTTATACCAGACTAAACAAAATCATATTGTAATAGTTTTAGTCGGACTGTTATATTTCTGGGAAGAAAAATTATTTTTACAAAATGTAAATGCAGTCCTAATTTCAGATATGCCAATACATTTTAATTAGTGTTACTTTTCAGTGCCATCTTATTATCGCAATGTGAGTTTGAACACAGCCAGAAGGTTTCGTTTTCCGTGCTGGTAACTGCTTGGGTTAACTTGGTATTTTTACAGAATTAAATAAATGTTAATAGATGTCTACAATTTAGACAAGTCCAGTGTTGTTTAAAAAAGATTATCTTGTTTGGGCTTTAGAGGAAAAAATATTTTAAACTCTAAATCTGCCTTTAATAACCTCAAAACTCAACAGTGCAAACCCTGCATGCATCCTCTAGATAAGTAACACTTAAAAATGAATTTTAATTTCCCAGGAACAAAGAAACATCTGTTTGGCATCTCATGTGACACATACAAGCAATTTTGTTCTTGATCCCTCTAGACTTCAAGACTCCTTACAACTCACGCATCTTGCGGAGAATAATCACAGTAATGATAGTTTTCCGGAGGTCCACAATTTCCCTAAGCAATCTGTCATTTTTAGCTGATGTTCCAAGTTAACCCATTACTATATGAATTCCTTCACCAGGCATTCTTAAATTCACTGTCTTCTTAAACTCCGTAATCAGATCATTGCTATTTTTAATTTCTTGTATCATATGAAACAGTAAAATCAATAATTTGACAATTCATTCAGTCATGTGCCATGCGGGATACACGCTTCGGCGATCATGTATCTTTCGATACATGTCTGACGAGGCAGATTTTTTAGGTTGTCATTTCTTTCTGCGGTAGACCAGTTGCCATGTAAGGCTATAGAACTCGGTCTGTCTTGCTATTTTCCCATAACTGGGGGAGAAGAGGATTCATGCCTTTTCCAAGGGTTTTAACACGTAAGTGAATATAATGGATTCGACTGGAATTCGAACTCGGCTCTCCCGTTTCTTCAATCCGGGCCGCTATCTACTACTTCACTACTTTCCCAATAAAGTTGTGTTTTAGCGCTTCAATGAAATGATTTTGAAGGTCAGATTCTGCCATTGGCTCTAGTTGATATTCATACCTTTTCTCTTTCATATTGAAGTCAAATTTACGGCATTCTTCCTAATGGATTCTCTTACCAAGTCAATCATGTTGTCGCTAATACTTTTTCTTTGCCAACTTAGGATATTTACCAATTATGTGGCTGTCTTATCAGCTTGGCCAACGTGTTGTATTTGAATTGTTCTTGTGATTTGTATATCTGGACCTTGATTGCATTCCTTCTGATAGCCTACTCTTGTACTGCAAATATAAGTGACTACATTTCTCTCTTTATAGACCCAGCTTCCATTCAAAACCACCTTGGTCCCAAATGACCAGGTTGATGTCCTGTATACCGGTGTCTCACGAGTGGGAGAAGATCTTTGGCATTCGCCAGCAGCCCTCCTGCGGGTAGTGTTGATAAAAATGCTGCTGGCTTTTCAAATTAAATTCACTGACCTTCATATTAGGAATGAAATGTCCAATGAAGGCATGAAAAGTTAAAAGAGAAGCTCCATATTTAGATTATTATAATTAAATCATTATCCTTTTATACACACTTAAAATGCTACCTCAAGTAATTTTTTTATATACAATAACAACTTCGAGCATTTTCAGTGTTTCCTTGCAATGTGTGCCATACAATATTTTGGTATTTTTTATCAATTCACACCAAGCAAGGCGATAATGCCACAAAGACGCAAGGAGTTACTGGGAGTGACAGAGAATGAGAACACTTTAGAATGAACCGGAAACCCAGTCATAAACAGGAAATAAGGGATAAACCTCTACTCCTGTGCAAAAAAGTGCTGAGAAGTGTGAATCAGACGATAGGCGAACCTATCTACTCCTATTGAGGAAAAATAGATAAATAGTAAATAACATTTCAGAGTTTAGGTGGAGACGTTAGAAATATAGAGTAGAATTTAGAAGGAACTGGAAACCAAATCCTAAAAAGGGATAAGCCCCTACACCTGTTCAAAAGACCGGGAAGGAGTGCGAACAGGGCAATAGGCGAAACTATTTAGTAATAATTGTTTATGAGGTGATGAGCAAGATAGGCATGAATTACAGTAAGTTTCTACAAATCCCAAGTCAACCTGCAAGACAGTTTAATGCTTGTGTTACCAATGTAAAAATTGTGTATTATTTTTCGATTATTGACACTGGAGATGAAATCTCCCAAAGTTTCATCCGAATTCATAACCAACATTGCTTTTTAAATTTTTTTTTTTTTTGGGGTTGAAATCCCGATTTATTGGTCATAGTTTGGTTATGTTAACCTTTTTATTAACACTTTGAGCTATGCGTTCCTGAACAATTTTAACCCTTCTGCCTGAGCTCCTGAGTCAAAATTCACAAATAATTGGTATGTACTATTTCACGGTAGATATAAAAATAGTTACAAGTGTTTACCCATCGTTCAACGGGTAGCTGGGCGTTGAGTCATTTTTCTCTACCACCGTGCAACCGGTGGCTGGGCATTACGTCATTTTTCTCTACCACCGTTCAACCGGTGACTGGCCATTACGTCATTTTTCGTTACCACCGTTCAACCGGCAGCTGGGCATTACGTCATTTTCTCTACCACCGTTCAATCGGTGGCTGGGCATTACGTCATTTTTTTTTCTCTACCATCGTTCAACCGATAGCTGGGCATTACGTTATTTTTTTCTCTACCACCGTTCAACCGGTGGCTGGGCATTACGCCATTTTCTCTACCACCGTTCAACTGGTGGCTGGGCATTACGTCATTTTTTCTACCACCGTTCAACCGGTGGCTGGGCATTACGTCATTTTTCTACCACCGTTCAACCGGTGGCTGGGCATTACGTCATTTTTTCTCTACCACCGTTCAACTGATAGCTGGGCATTACGTTATTTTTCTCTACCACCGTTCAACCGGTGGCTGGGCATTACGCCATTTTTCTCTACCACCGTTCAACCGGTGGCTGGGCATTACGTCATTTTTCTCTACCACCGTTCAACTGGTGGCTGGGCATTACGTCATTTTTTCTCTACCACCGTTCAACTGATAGCTGGGCATTACGTTATTTTTCTCTAACACCGGTAAAGCGGTGGTCAGGGCTCAAAGTGTTAAGTTGCATTTGGGTACGGGAGTCAATCATGTTTATTCTTTTTTGTATATTAGGATTGTTGGCTGTATTAATTTAAAAAAATTCTCTAAATCTAATTTTGTTCACTCGTCGATGATATGCCGTAATTCCCCATGTATAATACTTTTTTTCTAAAGAAATAATAAGCAAAATTAGGGGTGCGTATTATGCGCAGCTACAAAAAATCTTTAAAAATTTGCCGTCTCATAGGTCGATTTCAGTTGCGAAATGACTATTCACTACAAATATACGACAATTTGACAATAACATTCGGCGATTACGGCCCCATAAGGATGTCAAATACAATCTTATTTACCTAACAATACTTACAAATGTAAAATAAAATAAGAATTATCATAAAACCAAATTAGAATAATATTATTCTAAGTTTAAAACCATTAAAACTACATACAGATTCGGTAGATTGCACATTTTATCCAACAAAAACAGGTTAATGAGTCTGCGCAGTAGGCACAATATAGTTATTTCCGTTTCCTTTTAGAATGTGATGATCGGAAATTTTGATAAATATCTTCAATTACAGCTTGAATAAGAGTAGGAAACTCTGGTCGTAATGAAAATGGAGTGCTACAATTTATTGGGTTTGATTACCAAACAAGAGGTACGTATTATGTGTGAGTAGAAGAATTTTCTAACACTTTCAGCACAATTTTAGGGATGCGTATTATACATGAAGGCATATTATACACGGGGAATTACAGTATATAGAGAGAGTGAGCAGAGATTGTGATTGAGTTGGAGGTAGAGTAATAGTGTGAGGTAACCGCTTGTAGAAGTCTCAGTTACAAGCACGCCCAACTCTAAGGAAGTCATACTTGTATATATATATATATATATATATAATTATTGCGACTAACCGCGTTCCTGGATTTACTAACAGTATTACCGATTATATTATTCTGTAAATACATTTAATTTCTTATCTTTAATTCCTGCGTTTGTCATTCATTGGAGACCGAATTTCATCTCGGAATCCACAACACATATGAAGACAGTATTTATTCAAAATTCAGATTAAGATTTTGTCATTATATGTTATCAAAATATTGTTAACAATAATTTTATGTTGCTCAATTCTTTACAAAATATTAGAAGTGAAGGAAACATTTGCTAAGATAATAATTTTTAAAAAAAATCCTTGTAAGAAGACAAAAATGTTTACTTGTGCATCCTTTATTCAGTGACATCATAAAACTGTAATTGTTGACATCTGTTAAAACGTAAGGAAAATGATCCTATTATTAATGATGAATTCAATCGATGGAAGTTTTTCTCTAAGTTTCTTTAAAGCTATTTTTAAAAAATTTAAACTATTTTTTTTTCGATACATCAAACATATATCTAAAATATATATGTAAAAGAGAAGGGAAAGAAGAAATATGGAAAAGAGAGGGGAAAGAAGAAAGATGGAAGAGTAGGGAAAGAAGAAATATGGAAAAGAGAAGGGAAAGAAGAAAGATGGAAAAGAGAGGGGAAAGAAGAAAGATGGAAAAGAGAAGGGAAAGAAGAAATATGGAAAAGAGAGGGGAAAGAAGAAATATGGAAAAGAGAGGGGAAAGAAGAAAGATGGAAAAGAGAGGGGAAAGAAGAAAGATGGAAAAGAGAGGGGAAAGAAAAAAGATGGAAAAGAGAGGAGAAAGAAGATGGAAAAGAGAGGGGAAAGAAGAAATATGGAAGAGTAGGGAAAGAAGAAAGATGGAAAAGAGAGGGGAAAGAAAAAAGATGGAAAAGAGAGGAGAAAGAAGATGGAAAAGAGAGGGGAAAGAAGAAAGATGGAAGAGTAGGGAAAGAAGAAAGATGGAAAAGAGAAGGGAAAGAAGAAAGATGGAAAAGAGAGGAGAAAGAAGATGGTAAAGAGAGAGGAAAGAAGAAAGATGGAAGAGTAGGGAAAGAAGAAAAGATGGAAAAGAGAAGGAAAGAAGAAATATGGAAAAGAGAGGGAAAGAAGAAAGATGGAAAAGAGAAGGAAAGAAGAAAAAGATGGAAAGAGAAGGAAAGAAGAAATATGGAAAAGAGAGGGAAAGAAGAAAGATGGAAAAGAGAAGGGAAAGAAGAAATATGGAAAAGAGAGGGAAAGAAGAAATATGGAAAAGAGAGGGGAAAGAAGAAAGATGGAAAAGAGAGGGGAAAGAAGAAAGATGGAAAAGAGAGGGAAAAAAGAAAGATGGAAAAGAGGGGAAGAAAAGATGGAAAAGAGAGGAGAAAGAAGATGGAAAAAGAGGGGAAAGAAGAAAAGATGGAAGAGTAGGGAAAGAAGAAAGATGGAAAAGAGAGGAAAGAAAAAAGATGGAAAAGAGAGGAGAAAAGAAAATGGAAAAGAGAATGGAAAGAAGAAAGATGGAAGAAAAGAAAAGATGGAAAGATGGAAAAGAAAAAAGAGAGGGGAAAGAAGAAAATGGAAAAGAGAGGGAAAGAAGAAAGATGGAAAAGAGAAAAAAAAGAAGAAAGATGGAAAAGAGAGGGAAGAAGAAGAAAAGAGAGGGGAAAGAAAAAAGATGGAAAAGGGGAAAGAAAGAAAAATGGAAAAGAGAGGGGAAAAAAAACAGAAGAAAAGAAGAAAGAAAAGCTGGAAAAAAAGATGGAAAAGAAAGAAAGAAAGATGGAAAAGAGAAGGGAAAGAAGAAAGATGGAAAGAGAGGGAAAGAAGAAAGAAAAAAGAGAAGGGAAAGAAGAAAGATGGAAAAGAGAGGGAAAGAAGAAAGATGGAAAAGAGAAGGAAAAAAGAAAGATGGAAAAAGAGAAAGAAAAAGAAAGATGGAAAGAGAAGAAAAGAAGAAAGATGGAAAGAGAAAGAAAGAAGTAAAGAGGAAAGAAGAAAGATGGAAAGAGTAGGGAAAGAAAAAGATGGAAAAAGAGAAGGAAGAAAGAAAGAGAGAAAAAGAAAGAGGAAAAGAAAGGAAAGATGGAAAAGAGAAGGGAAAGAAGAAAGATGGAAAAGAGAAGGGAAAAGAAGAAATATGGAAAAGAGAGGGGAAAGAAGAAAGATGGAAAAGAGAAGGGAAAGAAGAAATATGGAAAAGAGAAGGGAAAGAAGAAAGATGGAAAAGAGAAAGGGAAAGAAAGAAAGATGGAAAAAGAGAGGAGAAAGAAGATGGAAAAAGAGAAAAAAGAAGATGGAAAGAAGGGGAAAGAAGGAAGATGGAAAAGAAAGAAGAAAGATGGAAAGAGAAGGGAAAGAAAAAAGATGGAAAAGAGAGGGGAAAAAGAAAGAAAAAGATGGAAAGAAGAGAAGGAAGAAAGGAAAAGAAGAAAGATGGAAAAGAGAAGGGAAAGAAGAAATATGGAAAAGAGAGGGGAAAGAAGAAAGATGGAAAAGAGAAGGGAAAGAAGAAATATGGAAAAGAGAGGGGAAAGAAGAAAGATGGAAAAGAGAGGGGAAAGAAGAAAGATGGAAAAGAAAAAAGAAGATAGAGGAAGAAAAGAGGATGGAAAAGAGAAAAGGAAGGAAAAGAAATATGGAAAAGAGAGGGAAAGAAGAAAGATGGAAAAGAGAAGGAAAAGAAGAAATATGGAAAAGAGAAGGAAAGAAGAAAAGATGGAAAAGAGAGGGGAAGAAGAAAGATGGAAAAGAGAGGGAAAGAAGAAAGATGGAAAAGAGAAGGAAAGAAGAAATATGGAAAAGAGAGGGGAAAGAAAGAAGAAAAAGAGGAAAAGAAAGAAAGAAAAAAGATGAAAGAAGAAACAAGAAGAGGGGAAAGAAGAAATATGGAAAAGAGAGGGGAAAGAAAAAGATGGAAAGAGAGAAAGAAGAAAAAAGATGGAAAGAAGAAAGATGGAAGAAGATGGAAAAGAAAAAAAAAAGAAGGGAAAGAAGAAAGATGGAAGGAGAAAGAAGGAAAGAAGAAAGATGGAAAAAGAAAATGGAAAAGAGAAGGAAAGAAGAAATATGGAAAAGAGAGGGAAAGAAGAAATGGAAAAGAGAAGGAAAGAAGAAATATGGAAAAGAGAAGGGAAGAAGAAGAAAAAGATGGAAAGAAGAAAGGAAAGAAGAAAAATATGGAAAAGAGAGGGGAAAGAAGAAATATGGAAAATAGAGGGAAAGAAGAAAAGATGGAAAGAGAGGGAAAGAAGAAATATGGAAAAGAGAAGGAAAGAAGAAAGATGGAAAAGAGAGGAGAAAGAAGAAAGATGGAAAAGAAGGAAAAGAAGAAATATGGAAAAGAGAGGGAAAGAAGAAATATGAAAAGAGAGGGGGAGAAGAAAGAGGGAAAAGAGAAGGGAAAGAAGAAATATGGAAAAGAGAAGGGAAAGAAGAAAGATGGAAAAGAGAAGGGAAAGAAGAAAGATGGAAAAGAGAGGAGAAAGAAGATGGTAAAGAGAGAGGAAAGAAGAAAGATGGAAGAGTAGGGAAAGAAGAAAGATGGAAAAGAGAAGGGAAAGAAGAAATATGGAAAAGAGAGGGGAAAGAAGAAAGATGGAAAAGAGAAGGGAAAGAAGAAATATGGAAAAGAGAAGGGAAAGAAGAAATATGGAAAATAGAGGGGAAAGAAGAAAGATGGAAGAGTAGGGAAAGAAGAAAGATGGAAAAGAGAAGGGAAAGAAGAAATATGGAAAAGAGAGGGGAAAGAAGAAATATGGAAAAGAGAGGGGAAAGAAGAAAGATGGAAAAGAGAGGGGAAAGAAGAAAGATGGAAAAGAGAGGGGAAAGAAGAAATATGGAAGAGTAGGGAAAGATGAAAGATCGAAAAGAGAGGGGAAAGAAAAAAGATGGAAAAGAGAATGGAAAGAAGAAAGATGGAAAAGAGAAGGGAAAGAAGAAATATGGAAAAGAGAGGGGAAAGAAGAAAGATGGAAAAGAGAGGGGAAAGAAGAAAGATGGAAAAGAGAGGGGAAAGAAGAAAGACGGAAAGGGAGGTGAAAGAAGAAAGATGAAAAAGAGACGAGAAAGAAGAAAGACGGAAAAGAAGAAGTAACAATAGAAAACAAAAAGAACAATAATAATCCAAATATAAATTTGAGACAACCGGAAAAAGAAATGACTCCAATTTATAATTCCAAGGAAAACAAAAGCTTTTGATTGATATGAATAAAGACTTGTAGAAATTAATAAAAAATAAAAAAAAACCGATAGACATTAATAACGAAAGATGAAGTTTAAAGATCGGCAAGAAAACAGGAAATGAGGCAAATGGAAGATAATTTTGATGAATGAAAACCAGTTCGATTATATTTTATATAAACGCAAACTGCTTCCCAATGATGATTGAATTATTAATAAAAATGAAGACATTTTAGGAAAATAGAATATTAATAAATGCAATTTGATTTTTCTACCAAATATATTATAGAATCTAAATAAATTAAAGGTCAAACAAAAATATATGAATCACGTCAACTTTACCTTTCCGAATAATGTCTCTGAAGTCTGTAGAATGTTCTTTCGTTTTCGGCATTATGAGTGCCACTGTGAAAATGGTTTTGGTAAATTTGCTACACATTTTGAAATGTATATACATGCATACACATATATGCATACATTCTTTTAGATGTTTGCTTATATTTACTATTGTAAAGATGAAAGGTGTGGACAAATAATGCAATAATCTCTTAGTTTTGTGGCATGTAATGTATATTTATTTTCCTCATTGTAGAGAAATAGTATTTTAAATAATGGCTTCTGCCCAGGCTTGAACACGGATTAGTGACATCGGGAGGTGTATATTTAAACACAGATAGGTAGATAGATATGACTTAGAGCGATACGAACAGAGATATAGATAGATAGATAGATAGATAGATAGATAGATAGATAGATAGATAGATAGATAAGCGGCTAAGAGATAGATAGATAAGCAAGCTAAAAGGTAGATAGATAGATAGATAGATAGATAAACAAACAGTGACACAGATATGAAAATACTGAGATAGATTAATATATAACCAAATATAGATACAGATAGGTATGAACATATACAGACAGACAGATCAACAGATAGATAGATAGATAGATAGATAGATAGCTACGAGCAGATTGAAATAGATTCATGTATAAAGAAACTTAGACAGAGAGGTAGGTAGACAGATATGAAGAGACTGAGATATATATATATATATATATATATATATATATATGGTTGGATAGATGTGAGTTTGTGACCCTGGTTTTCGCCTTTAGCGATCGTCAGACCGCATATATAATATTTAAATAATTATACATATATATATTTATTTATATTTATATACACTTTTCACACACACACACACACACACACACACACACACACACACACACACACATATATATATATATATATATATATATATATATATATATATATATATATATGAAGAAATATAGTCTTAAGATGTGCTATATTTATGGGATAAAGTGTTCAATATCAGAGATAGGGCGTGTGTAAATATAAAAGTGAACATCGAAGTTTCCACTTATATATATATATATATATAGATTGATAGATAGATTGATAGATTGATAGATAGATATGAACAGAATGAGGTGCATATTGTTTTCGCACGTATTGTGTATATAAATATATTTGATTAATATTTTTTTCCGTTTTATTTATTTTCATCTTTCTTTTCCTCCGTCTTTTTGGTTTTCTTTTACCTGTTTTTATTTCTTGATTTTCTTTCCTTTATTCTATTCGTCAGGTAATAATGAATTATGAAGACGCTGCCAGTGTAAATTCCGAATCAATAATGGTTAGAATCAAATCAGTCGTTTCTCGTCTATCTCTTTCCCGCCAGCAAGCGAACGCGCTAATTTCCACCGCAACTCACACTTTACGTGTAAAATAATTGATTGAAAATTCGTCACTCCTTGTCTGCTCCGTCCAAACCCCACCCAGCCACAACTACCCCGTTATGTTTTTTTCCCTCCGCAGGGCGAGGCGCAGAGCTTGCGGGAGGAAGAAAGAAAAACAGACGTTTCCCGACATGACCGGTATTTTTTTCATTCAGACGAAAGGGCGACAATTAATCGTTGTGTAGGTTTACAGAAATATTGATTAAGTTTATTTGTTCTTGCTTACAACTCCCTACATGTATATCACTCATCATCGCTGGTCCAATCGAGCGGACAGGATCGGAATTTAATATAACATTTCTTTTAAAAACTTCAATATTGGCAATAAGAAAACGTTCTTGATACCTGTAGAAATGCAGCTAAAATGCATTTCATTTAAAGAGACATTTCAGAAGAATCGACAAAAGGAATAAAACTTGTAAAAGGCGTTAAATTATGAAGTTGCAAATATGTCATGCGCACAGGAAGAGCTGACTAGTTCCCTCCACAATACACACGCACACATACACACACATACGCTAAGATAAAGAACAAATAGAAAACGATTATTAATCTAACGTGTTTCGCTTTTATTAAAGCTTCATCAGAGAATTAATAAAAGTGAAACGTTAGATTGATAAGTTTTATTAAGGGCAATCTTTTGATTTATGTCTGACTAAGCAGGAGATTTTTCCTGTATTATTTTGGACAGCCCAGGCTATAGGAACCAGTCTGCTCCGCTATTTAACCAATATCTGAGGAGAGAAGAGATGGAAACATACCTTTATCAATGGCATTGCGCTTAAGCGAATTTAACGAACCCAACTGGAATTCGAACTCCGCTCCCCGATTTCTCATTCCGAGCCGATAATATCAATGACTACATAACGCACGTTTCCTATTTGTTCTTTATCGTATCATTCTGTTGAATTCCAATCAACTTACAATATATCAGTTAGAAAGTCAATGGTAAAAAACAAAACCTTGTATAGCAGATAAGATTAAACACCAAAAGAAGCAACTTTTAGAATGATTGGCATTTCAAGAACATTGAGTTGACATCAGTACCACAAAAGCACACATTCATAATACGTGTAACAGGGAAAGGATTCATGGCTTTCAGTATTAATAAGTACAGACTCGTCTCCAAATTCATATCCATTGACTCAAGAAACTATTCAATTATATAGAAATGTTTTGTGATACTAACGAATAATCGTTGTCACTTTCGTAATGCTCGTTGTAGTAGAGTCTTTGTAATCGCAAATACCACTATAGTAACGCCGCTGAACAATGCTGGTGTGAGACACCTTCAAATGACACTCGCACTAATAGTACTTGCAAGATAATACTGTCTCGAATAGTAACCACCGAATGGTAATCGGTGTTGTGATCAGTATAGATAATAGCGTAGAAAAGAGAATCGCGAACCGTATAGTATTAGAGGATAGACTAGAGATAGTGATCCGAATAGTAATACGGGATAGAATTCGCTTATTTTTCGCTCTTCTAGTTTTTTTTAAGTAAGGCATTTCTGCAAATTATTTGCACTTGTACATTATGTACCACTTCCTCTATTTCTTGACAATCCAAATCATTTTGAAGTGATTCTACCGTTGAATTCCTTTGTAATTCATTAACATCTTCATTTAACCATTCTTTTAAGCCATCCGAACTGAGACTATTCAGTGGATCATCTTCAAGCGCAAGTTTCTAATATTTATAATACATGTATTTTTACAGAGAAATATTAAAATTAAAATTGTGTTAATTCCAACTGGGTTTTCAGAAAAAAATGTTTTACTTTTTTAATTTAACCGAAATTGTTTTTATCTTTTAAAAAAAAATTTGTAACTCTTTATATTTCCACGTGTTGACGCTTGTGTTTTGAACAAATGAAAAAAAATCATGGCTTATGTCGTGGTTATTTATCCTTTTCGTCGTATTGTTTTCACTTAACATTCACTCCTTAACCTTTCCTCCCTTTTTCCTCTTTTTATAATTTACAATGTTTATTACTTAATAAGTTTTATTTTCAATTGTCTTTCTTATTACTTTTCTCATTTCATTTACTTTTTAGCTGTTCTAGTTTTTTGTTGTTGTTTTTAAGTAAGGCATTTCTGCAAATTACGCGCACTTGTACATTCTGTACTAGTGAACAAAGTTTGTTTCTTCATGAATTTGATGACTTCAATAGCTTTCATTACTGAGTCCCAGTTTTATTCATATTTTCATAATTATCATAGAAATTTGATTCTTCCTGTATTTCTTGACAATCCAAATGATTTTGAACCGATTCTACCATTAAATTCCTTTGTAATTCATTAACATCTTTATTTATCCATTCTTTTAAGCCATCCAAAGTGAGAAGATTCAGTAGATCATCTTCATCTGCAAGTTTTAGTGTTTCGATCATATTCTGCAATCTTTGCTTGTTAATTTGCATATTCAACGAATTAGGAGCTTCTTCCAGTTTTTCAATAATCTCTAATTTCTGACGTAACGTGAAAGAATTTTCTGTTTTCTTCTTGCTGAAGTTTCTTCTGTTCAAGACATTATGGATTGAGAAATATCGAGTTACTAAACATTATCTGCAAAAAAAGAAAATATTAGAATTTCGTAAAATGCATTTATTGGATGCTTTAATACACATTATCAGTGATGTTTCTAGTCGAGGTCCTTTAGCGATTTCGGGTCTTTCAACATCCTACCACCTCTCCACGGTGACCCAGTCGATACTGATCGGGTATCGACTTGTGTACCTTCCGTTAGCTATAGTTTTTTTTCCATATTTATAACTACACATTGCGACTCCCCTTGGCAATTTATAGCCCACTCCCAGATAACATCCGGTTCACCAGCAATGTGCGCTCTTCCATAAAAAAGGAAGCAAACGCACACACAATTTCTATCTGGTCAGAAACATGGCGGCGTACTCGGTTTGAAGTGGTAAGTAACGATTTTTTTTCCCTCACTCATATACATATAGCATTCTACATTGCAACACTGAGAAGTTCGGATATGAGGACGTCTACTGTATTTGATTTTGTCTTTATACTTGTAAGCGGAAACATATATAGAAAATAAATTGGAAATTATTCGTCGCCAAAAACTCGTTCAAATAGGAAACATCTACTAAACTCTAATTAATTAATACCCTTCGTTAATTGATTTCGCTATTTATTCATTGATTGTTGAAGTGATTTCTAAAAATAGAATTTACTTTTATTGGAACAGTTATTGGCAGGTGGGGGAACCAGCGAGCAGGGTTCAAATCCCAGCCTAGTTTGTTGCGTTAAAGTTTGTTCTAATACTCTTGAGAAACATGCAAACGAAACCTATGTCTCTGTTTTTTGACTCTCATCCAAACCAAAATATGTGTCTGCCTTTCTAACTTTTGTACAAAAAAAATCTTTGTTTTGCCCCTCATACAAGACAAACATGTCGACATTTGCTGGCTCTCATGCAAACTAAACCTATACTGCCCTTTAGACCTTCATGCAAATCAAACCATTATCTATGTTTTTTGATTCACACGGAAACTAAAATCTGTGTTTACCTTTCTAAATCTTGTGCAAAGCAAAATCTTTTTTTGGCTCTAATGCAGATCAAACCTATGTTTGCATTTGTTGACACACATTTAAATCAATGCATCACTTCTCCCCTAGCTATGGGTTAAATAGAAGTGTATATTGGGTTCTCTAGTCCTAACCCTAGCCATAGGTGGCAACCAGTCAAACAGAAAGAAAACTGTGAAATCCCAAACTGCGGAGAAATCAACAAGAAACCACTCCACCATCTTCCGCAAAAAGTCATGACAATTCCCTGATAATAAAGAAAAGGAATCTGTGGAGAGCTATGATCCCCTACATTCTCAAGGGACGTGACATAAAACAATTTATAAAAAAAAAATAATTCTGTAAAAAACAAAAAAAGTGAAAATATGTCATCATAAAAACAAATGATCTATTGTGTGAAACTTAAGAAATATAATTTTCAACTTCAGGTTGTTAACATAATCAAAAGTAAGCAAATTTGAATTTAAAATTTTCTTGAATTAATACCTTCTTTTTTTTCTTTTTATGCGCCGTATCTTTTCAGGGCGTAGGCGATTAAGGCTCTCCCCCTTCCACTATCCTTTACAGCTCTCAACAAGTTTCTTCCCTCTGCTTTCTCCCCTAGACCACGTTCTGTCATCCTCTTGCTTAAGCCCGCCAGGTAAGACACGCGTTGTTTTCCCTTGTCTTTCTTTCCCTCTACTAGACCTGTGAGTATCAGATTCTCTAGGCCTTCCTTCCTCATTACGTGTCCCAGAGACTTCAGCTGCCTCTTCCTGATGTTATGTATAAGCCTCCTCCTTGTTTGCAACCTCTCTAAGATCTCATAGTTGCTCACACGCTTGGTCCATGATATCCTTAGCATCCTTCGGGAGAACCTTATCTCTGTCGCCTCGAGTCTTTTCTTCATCTTTGAGGAAATCGTCCAACATTCGCTGCGGTAAAGAAGGGCAGATGTTACGTAACAGCTCAGTCTTCTCTTTGTTACCAAGGAAATCCTCCTATCTCACAAATACATAAAATACATAAAAGGCGAATTAGTAACTTCAATGTAAAAAATTTAAAATTGCATTAGAAAATAAAGTACTATATTATTTCAGAAATGCTTTATATGTTAAAATATGTTGTATTCATGCAAAATGACAGATTTTTAAAAAATTTAATCATTTTGATAAATCTGTCTATATTTCTGAGATGAGGTATTATGTACATTATTTACATTATTCGGACTATTCTCCTCATCTTTGTCGCTGCTTACAACACCGAGCAAAGGACATAAGTGGCGACCCAGAGACATTAGATAAAGAATTGGTCAGTATAAGTAGTACCCTACAACGTGACAACTACCCTGGGTACATGGCAGCAGCCCCCCAAAAACTGGCATAGGCGGGTACAAGAGAAGGGAGATCACCGTCCTCTGTGGGATCGGGTTGAGATCATAGACAAAGAACACCATTTAAAAATTCGTAAACTTAAGGAATCAGCACATATGCTAGGCCACAAAAATCTCCTGGGCCGACCAAGCATAGAAATGAATACAATATGGGAACTAGTAATATGGAGTGCCAGAGAAAAGTGATAACATTGCAATATGAGC